GGCGCAACGCATAGCATTACCTAAATCATCAAATTTTTTATAAAGATCAGCAGCACATTTCAGCACCTGAAAGCAAGAAGACAATTAGAGACGATGATGTAGGTTCGGGAGTAGTAGAGTATGTTCGAGGAGTAAAGATGCTTAAAGAACCTTGTAATTATCCGGATCAGAAAGATAGGCAACACAACTCGTCATATACAAGCAAACTCGTTGATAATTGAGCTTAGTTGTATGAATGAGAAGTAAATCTAGCTGTTCAATCTCAATACATAGATCAATTGCTTCGGCCTCTGCATTATGTTCCATTAGGTAAGGGATGGTTTGTTGAACCATAGCTATACATTGATTTTTTTGATCTTTGGAATCCTCTGAAACAACTGAAAAGGATAACGTCACTGTAAAACATACCTTCAGATTTGTCGGCAGTTCCGGAAAAATCTTTCTCATTCCAGAGAGAAACAATTTGACCCGTCAAATGCCTGACATATTCATGTCCCCAGGCCCCTATCTCTTCGTGAAGACCAAGCAATCTATAGTTTAGAGTATCGTATTTATATTCCGCCTTATCCGTCATCGTCATTCCTAAGACTGAGATAAGGTCAGCACACATTTTCTGAAAGCAGTCAAAATATAAAATGAGCAACCTTGGTGCTTTGATCAGTAAGTTTAGAATAGATATCCTTCATCCTGGAATAATGAGGACGCATGAACTTTAATGGCTTTGGAACGGAAGTCATTGAAGTTGTAGAAGATCGTATGAGAGAACGCATGGCCTCTAAGGCAGGCATGTAAAGATCTTTGTTCGACTCCTCTAAGCGTTGAACACAGAGGCTTAATTCGTCCTGCAACTGTTTATCTTCCTCCGACTATTTGAATAAATTTTCAAAAATAAGGATACCAAATCATCGTCCGGCTTTTGTTCCTCCTTCTTTGGTACGGTCGTAGTCTCCCTGGTTGTGGCAGCACCTTGAGACCCCATGGCTAAACGGGGATGACTAGGATGGTTAGGAACCAAAGTAGAGACGCGAGCAAAACGCGCTTGTTAACAAATGCAAATTATGAAACGAATTATGTAAAATAAAGCTATTAAAAATTCCGTGTATTTATACTAAAACAATTTAATTAAAATATATGCATAAAAGAAATAAGCACTCTTTGTTCAATAAAGATTTATAAGAAAGGACCCATATTCCGAAATTTAT